AGGAATGCATGCTTTTAATTAATGGGTGATTAACACACAATACCCGTCATTAAAGCCAAATTAAATATCTAGTTCAAGGGAAACCACTGTAAGCCTTGCATTATTTGGAAGTCCTCTTGCTGTGACGGGGCCCAACCCCACCTTCCTGAGTTAAAACTCTCCTTTGGAGCCCATGGGTGGTTTTGAGTATCGTTCAAGGCTAGGGCTCTTCAAAGCAACATTTTCCCAGCCCCTTGGAGAACATTTTTTTTATACCTTTTTGTACTTCCCCCTCCATAGCCGAAGACAGTAGACCTGTTTTTACTTCTTAGTACCATAGGATGAACACACATAGCTTTGGGAACAGCTGCATGCTACAGAGTCAGTAAGGGACTTTACACGTCATTTTGGATGTATTGCATCAAAATGTGGTGCTCTGTCCCCTACCACAGCGGTAGCTAGGTGCAGGATTCGGGGCAGTTGGGTATTAGATTTCCTTTTTCCCCCATTGCTGTACTCAGGAGCCAGGATCTGTCTTCATGAATGGAAGGCTAAAATTTGGATCGACGCAGGACAGCAGTGTCTTGCTAAGAGTACCTAAGAGCTGAAGTTAAATTATTATTCAATTTGACTGTAATAAAAAAGACCCACGGAGGAGCCCGCCAGGGATAAAACACGTACGCAATTATCTTTCATAAGGATAATCCCAATCAAGCTGATCAGAGCGTGCGAAGTAAAGGGGACGTGACAAAAATATGATCCAAAATCTCAGTTACCGATGGATAAAAATAGATTGCTTCCCTCTGGTTGAATCCCAAAGGAAGTTAAGGTTATGTTTTCTCAGACTCCTTCACCAGGGCTTGATACTACACCACCAAGGGGGGTTGTATTGTTGGTACTGCATCAGTCGTGCAGGTGCTCGAGGAATATGCGCAAAGCCCCTTCATCGCTGCACCTAGGCTGCCCTGCGGTGCGAGACATGGAGCGAAGGAATTACCAGCACAGGGAAGGGAGATGAGACAAACCAGCAACTGGGGATTGCCAGAGACAAGAACAGAAACCAAGGGGAACATGGAATTGAGAGGATTACCAATGGAAGAATATGCTTCAGAGATAATATTATCATGAAATCCCTCAGGAGCAGAGCTTTATGTCTGACAAAAAGCTCCCTTACCGGGAGCCATTGTTTGTTTCGGTGATAAATCCCCAGGGCAGAGACCTGATCGTTCAGTCAGTAATATCATCTGAGCAGCTCTATCAACCGAAGTCACACAGCTCATCTCCCTCACCTTACAGCTGCTGTGGCTTCATGCACAAAGTCCGCATCCAAGGAATTCACATAAAAAAAATCCACGTGGCATAAATCCCAGCCTGTGTGCCGTTTGCATGCAATAGCCAGGTTGCCCAAAAAAAAATATATATTTTTTTTTAAATCCCCACCTCCAACATGACAGCAAATCTGTGCTTAAAGTTTGGAACAGGTCCTTTTTGTTTCTTAAGTGTGTGTGTACATCCGGTGCCTAGCAACCCAAGGGCCTGCAAAGCCATGCACTAAAATTAACGAGGTGTTTGCAGATTGAGGAAAGGCACTCAAGGACCAGGGAGATAAAGGCAGCAGCATTGAGTGCGTCTCAGTGAAGAAATCTGAAGGAGCATAAAAATAAAAAGCCTAACCCAAGAATAAGGGTCAGGGACATAAGAAAGAAACACCTGAGAGAGAAGCCTACAAAGGGAGGTAATGTCTCATCTAATTTCACTTAGGCAATGGCCTTTTGTGCCCATGCTAACAAGAAATGGAAACAGGTATGATTAAAAACCACTCTGCTGCAAAGCTGAACAAACAGAGCGACGAGGCCAGCTCCTCGCCTGGTGCGTGCAGCTGAAACGCTACCCAAGTCAATGGAGTAACACCAATATATCCCGCTGAGGATCTGACTCCCTGAATCCAATAAGCATTTACTCCGTCTGCCAGCTTCAGAAAAATTGGAGTTGAACGGAGACATTTGTTTACCATGTTTACTAGGAGACTACTGAGAACATCTCAGAGGTAGCTGGGGGAAGAAAAAAAAAAGTATTGAGATGACACTATGAACTCAGACACAAAAGAGCACGCTGTAATCACAGTCATGCTTTGGGAGGTCGGGAGTAACTTCGGCTAAATCAGCGCAGTTTTTTTGGAATTACTTCAGTGTAACTGAGAGAGGATTTTGGAGCTACCACCGTAGGCCAGATTCTGGTCTCAGCTAAACCATGCTTAATCATAAATACGTGCTTAAAAGCAATTCCCAGTGAAGTTGCATGTTCCAGTTAAACCACACTACATCTGTGCAATGTTAAGCAGTATTAACGTTAGCACGTGCTGTGAGTGGTCACATATTAAGGGTTACCAATTCTCTTGCCTACACAACTCTGACTTGCCACTAGATGGCTGGCGAGCAGGGGCATGGCTTGAAGCCAGGACACCTAGGGCATTTTTATATGCGTTTCCGACGTAGCGCTGGGCGCTTTTAATTAACAAGCTGTGCTAATTAAAAGCACCCGCGTGTCACATGTATCAGCAGCGCAGTGAGTCCCCATGCTGAGAAAGTAGTGGCGGGGTGCTTTGAACTAAAGTACATTGAACGTGTTTTATTTCAAAGAGCACTGCCACCATTTTCTCAGTGTGGAGACGCACTGAACTGCTGATGCATGTCATGCACGAGGCTCCCAGAGCATGTCAAGTTACTCGATTAATTGAGTATGCTCTGACACGCTGGATTTCCACTGCACTGGTGCAGGCTCCCTGCATGTGTGTTAGTGCCCCTAGGCTCTATCACTGCTCCAGGTGGAGGGGGGACGGGGAGCAGTTCATCCTGGGATGCTGGAGGACTAAAATTGCTTGTTTTATCTCTGTGGAGCAGACTGAAGTTACCCTAACATGAGCTAGGTTGCACGGCCCAGAGTTAACACTCATCTGAAGTGGCATAAAACTTTGAGAAGCTCAGAGGGCACTTAGCGTGAGTAAACAAGCTTTAAAGTGCAGTCATTCACATTTTAAGTGCCCTTAGTATGGCCTAAGCATAACATACAACTTTACCCTAACTTCACGTTAGGCGTTTTAGTTAGTGCTTCCCTGGGATGGGACCAAAGTTAAAAGGAACCCTCTTGACATTAATGGAGTCAGTCCAGATTTAAACTGGTGGCTAAAGGATTTGCCTATACTGTATTGCAGTCAAAGTGTGACTGCAAGCGGTGACCAGAAAGCTGGGAAAATGCTCAGGTGGTTTACCCGTGTGGCACTCCGTGCTGTTGCAGTGATGCTGCTAGCAGTACCTGATCTAGCTAGTTCAAAGCACTTGGATTTACCTGCAGTCACACTGCATAATTGAAGATCGCTATTCCACCATCTTGCTCCAGTTTTAGAGCTTAACCAATTCCAAGTAGCCACGCACTGTTGCTGAAATGCTCTTACGCAGCTAGTGAGAAGAAACTACTTGTTTTAAAAAGCCGTGCCATATTCTCTGATGGAGAGCTGCAGCAGGTGATCTTTCAGCCAAGGGACTTTGCTTGAACCAACGCCCTAGACCACTGGTTTCTAATCTGTGGTACGTGTACCACCAGTGGTATGCAGACCACCTGTCAGTGGTACACATTAACAGATTTAGTATAATGACTTTATATGACAAAAAATTGCTGGTGGTACTTAAGGTTGTGTTGTTTTAAGCTGGCAGTGTGCAATCTGTCAGAGTTTGGGAACCGCTGCCCTAGACAAACTAGTGCAAGGTTCAGTTTTACATCAGCCATTCTTCCACTGGGAGGCATGCTGCTTTTGACCTGCCCTGACAGGTACTTAGGTAAAGCCTAAGCCAGATCCTACAAGAAAACTTTCTGCTCTTTAGAAGCAGCTGACAATGACCTCTCCTTCATTTTCCATGACAGAGGAGACAATTCAGAGAGGAGCAGCTATAACACCAGGCAATTAAAAATAAAACACCAACCCAGGGAGAAATAATACAAATACCTACTGCCTTCTTCCAGAACAACTCAATAAATTCTCTCCTTAAACTGCACTTGAAAATAAAAAACAAATAGGTTCTGTACAGAGCTATTTATAGTGTGATGGAGTATTATGGCATTGGGAGGTGACAAACCTTAATGTTTATTTTCCCCTTATCATGCCTATCAATCAATAGAGACATTGCTTTAAATTATAACCTGCCCTACTAGATCCTGATGAATAACGCTGGCTTTTGCATGCTGGCCAAACCCCTATGCAGAATGTAAAGATCCCTCTTCCCCCACCGTTTCCTTTCTTCCTGACATTTTGTTGCTTTTTGCTCCTTTTGTTTTTTGCCTGTCAAGAATTGGGTCACAGGCAGCACAAGTTGGTTGCTAGTTTCAGGGAGTCCATTATATGTTCATCCAATCTAAACTGGATAGTTAGAAAGACACGAGGTCAAGTTCAATTCAAATCTAAGACACCTGCGCTGTATTCCCACCGGTGCTTAGGGAGGTAGAGGAGATTGAATAGAAGCTCCTACCCCTGGGAGTCAGTTGATAGAGATACGAAATAATGGAGTTAAAAATGTGCAGAAGTGTTGCTATACTGGAAGGAAGACAAGATCCACGAGTGCAGGCCATCAAAAAGATAATGATGCCACTAATCTCTAACCAGCCTGCAGAACTTTATAAGGGTGGCTTTTAATCTGGCTCCTGCACACAGCGAAGCCAGTTTCAAAGACATTGTCATAGCATTTATTCCATCAGCATTGACTGACTCACAGCTGAATTCTTGCAGTTGCATTAATGCTAAGAATCCTTTTCATTTAAGATCAGCTAAACAGCTTGGTTTATTACACTCGGCCCTAGCTACGAAAGAGGGGGAAAGAAGAGCTAGTATTCTCTCTCCATTTTTCTTTACAGGATTCTCCAATCTATTAGTTTCCCTTTAATTTATCCAATTGCAGAGGGATGTTGGTGTTGGCATCTCCTCCACGCTGGAAACAAAGAGGTAAAGAAGTGCATATTTTAAGGCATTACCTCAGTCTGGAAACCCTCCACCAGGATGGCCACCAGGAGGTTAAAGAGAACATAATTCCCAAATGTCATGAGGGCGATGAAGTAGAGAGCAGCCCAGGAAGAGGTGGAAGCCATGCCGTTGTAGAGAACCTTGTTCCAGTCTTCCTGCGTCAGGATCTGGGGAGAAAGAGCAGCGTGAGCACTAGGAGACACCAGGGAGGACAGAGGCATCAAAGACAGCAGTGCGAGCACTAGGGGACGTGTCCCCGTTGACATGCTCCGTTAGCAGGGCAGTCTGGTTGTATGGCCTAGGACACACACAGCATTACGTATGTTCTGGGCAGACAGAATAGTGTCTCCAGCCTTAAATAGGCAAATGGCAGCCCAACCCAACTACAACACTTTACCCTGGATATAGTGCTCCTGTAAAGGAGGACAGTGCACTTGACCCTCAAGGGAAGTACTGTAAATTAATTTCAAATCAGACTTGCCCCTCATTTTCCATTAGATCACAGCAGAGACGGAGAAAACACCCACGAGTCCCAACTCTCATGCCCCTACTCATCACTAAACCATGCTTTGGACTATGGGCAACAAGCTGCCCTAGCACCAATTAATATCGCGGGCAAGAGAAACCTGTAAGTGACTGTGAAGTATGGCATTTCCTTCTACCTGCAAGGACAGCTAAATCCAGCAGAGACTGAAAAGATACAGTCCCCATTTGTCACGTGTATAAATTATTGCTATAAAACACTGGAGAGAGATGACTCCACACCATCTTTCTTGCTCAAGGGACTTGTTGCAGCCTTGATCACAGACTAGTTCTCAGCTCACATTCCTGTTATTCCTGCTCATCCAGCACTTTACCTCTCCGCTCTTTCTCAAAACATCGCCATCAGTTATACAAGAGCCTTCTTCTCTGCAGCTGCTGACATTGCTGCTAGCTCTATTTTTCTTAGATCTCCATTTTTTTTTCTCCAAATATTGTCTGAAACCCTTCATCCTCCCCTGCTGCTACTTTCCAATTTTTCTCCCCCTTGGCAATTAGTCTTCTGACTTATATAAAGTGTTCTGGAAAACAGACATGGACTGTCCCTCTTTCTTGCAGTCCCAAAGCATATGCTTGTTCAAGAGGTTTTGCTGGTGTACCTGGAAAACAGTGACGATGGCCCAGAGCAAGGAGTCAAAGTTTTTCCTATCAGGAAGGGTGTCCCCGTCTCTCTCAGAAGCAAACTTACAGCCGAAGAGATGCATCCCTAGAATACTGAACACAAGAAGCCAAGACTGGAATAAAGAGGATGTTAAGGAAATATCATGTCATAGGACTGTCTGTGCACCAAATAGGAGAGACTTTACATCGATAATTTATTCACCAAAACAACCTAATTTTGAGTCAACTGAAACTATTTATAAAAATTTGAAGGAAATTCTGCAAATAGTTTCAGGCAAAAAAAAGACTAGTTGGAAAAGTCAAAACACTGCTTCAACATTTTCCAAGCAAAAATGTTTTGACTTGTTTGGAAATGACAACTTTTTATTCACAGTTTACCAAAACCTAATTTTAAAGAAAAGGGGTTAGAAAACTCAAAACAAAGGACTTTAATTGAACTCAAACACTTTTGCTGTGAAAAACAAAAAAAAATCATTTTTGGTCCAATTTTTTGTTTCGTTTTTAATTTTTCAGTTCACCCAATGAAGTGAAAAACCAATGCTTTGCACAGCTTGGCCCTGCATCTCCCTAGCAACTGGTCATTTAGAGGGAAGCTTTCCATCAGGAAAGAGAAGAGAAAGCTTTTAAGCTGCCGTTTGTCAACCTTCCCAATATCTGTGCACCTTGTGGAGAAAGCCAGACCTACCCCCAGGTCCAGGAGAGAGAAGCTCATTAGGATTTGAATTTCATGAACACCAACAGGTCTGGTCCATCATAAAGACAGGGACCTTTTTCAAACCCCCAGCCCTCAGTTTGCTTTTCCAATATCCCCAAAATACAGAGCTGCCCAGATCTTGGGCTCTGGTTGAGGGTTATTTATTAACATACTTGCTCTAAAACCTTCTGCACAGGGGGAATAGACTGGCTGAAGACTGAAGGGCGAAAACCAAGGGGGAAAAAAGAACCAAGTTTGAGAGAGTGACTTAGCTGGGTTTATTCTGCCTGCCCCTCTTCGAAGGAGGGTATTTAGCCAACACGTCCTGCTTGGCCTCTCAACCAGAGCAGTATTGCAATGCCATCAACCCTCTTCATCGGGATTATGTCAGGACAGGAATTGGCCAGCAGAAGGGACCTCCCTGGAAAACTCCATCGCAAACGCAGATGTCTTATTTGGCAAGGACTGAAAGATTCAGGCAGGGCAGCAAGCCCAGTACCGGGTGCTGGTCCAGAAATGCCCGTATAAGATACGATTCACTTCACTGCGGGCTTCCGGGCTCCTCTCACCTACTACTAAATAAAGCATTTCCATTCGAGGGAGGACAGTCAGGGTTATCTACCTCCGAAAACACTCACAAAACCTACAGAATTGCCTTGGTCTCATCCACTCGCTGGTTTTCACCTTAAAGCACAGAACGTCAGCAGGGCACGACATCCAAGTCCTTGCCACACACTCACCTAAAGATGAAGATGAAGAGCATCAGTAACATGCAGAAGGTGGCCACATTGTCCATGGTCTTCATGAGGACCACAAGCTGGCGCTGGAGGGCAGGCATGAACCGGACCAGTTTTAGGACTCGCATGAGACGGAAGGTCCGTAGAACCGACAGGCCCCCGCCTTGCTGGCCCACGATCTCCCAGACACTAAGGAAGACAAGAGATTTGCAGAATAGACCTCAGCCCTGGGAAAGAAACGCTGAACATAACTGCATGTAGGCATCAGAGAGAGAGAGAGAGAGCAGGGAAAAGAAAAATCCACTCAAATCTGGTGGAGTTCAGGGAAAAAGAGGGGTGGGCAGTGGAGAGGATGTGGAGGGATGGCCGTACTGCAAGTGCCATCTGACAGCGGAAACAGAGCCAGATCTGCAGTGACATGACAAAAGCATGTTAAAAACATGCCCGCGAATCACTGACTGCATCTGTAGGTACAATTTTAGTGTTCACGTGCGACCGATGGGGGAATGGGCACAGTGAGCCAGCTGGACGCTTAACTAGAGCTTTGTTAGCTGAAGAGTTCAAGCCAAAACTTCCCAACGATTGGGGGTGTTTGGATCTGGGGCTTTAGTTTGGGCCTCTCTGAAACGAACACAAAGAAGCCTCTGAATACATACCTGCATGTCTGTGTATGCATGTCCATCTATCGATGTGCGAATATGATAAATATAATAGACAGGTATTCATTATGTTATAGGGAGCTATTTAACACCATAGAGAGAACCAGTGATGGCCTGTTAGACAGGAAGCTATAATGCCCCCAAAATTCAAATACACGGCATTAATGAGGCATACAAGTGAGAGGCATGGAACGGGCATACTCCAGGGCAGGGAGAAAGAACAAGGAACTCAGAGGTAGGCATTACTAGGAGGAAACAGAAAAGATGCATGCTATGAAATACGACAAGGTATCACAAACAGGTATGGCAGGATACATGGAAAACTTCAGAGGCTGAAAGCAAGGTAGAAATGAGGTGGATTGCTGTAGAGAGTTTTTTCAGGACAGCGGAGAACTGATAGATGAAATGACACGGCAGGGTGCAAAGCCTAACACAGGAGCACATTATCCTGTG